AGCGAAAACAAGGTAAATTTTTTTAATTTTTTATAATTAACAATTTTTCAAGAATTTGATTATTAATGAAAACGATGAAGATTATTGTAAAAATAGAACATTTAATGATTTTAAGCTGGAGTTAAATGATAGTGAGAAATTAATAGATTGTGAAGATGAACAACAAATAGAATATCAAAATAAAGACGAGGAGGTTCTTAAGCAATCTATGAATATTAATGAAGGTATTATACGATGAAAAATTAATAGAAATAGTAGTAACTAGAGATAATGAAAACGACGAAGATTATTGTATAAATACCTAATCGAGAGATATTTCGTATAGTAACTTATACTTTTCTCTAACGACCACTCTCGATTTTCTTACTTCCTCCCAGTCTTTAGTATTAATCACATTCTTTACAAATAAAGTAAGAATTAAGTGTATTTGTAAGTTTTGCGGATTAATGATTAAAATTTTTAGTAGTATCGGATTTTACCGCACATGTACGCAAATTTTTGTCTGCAGGTTTTTCCTTATTCTCCATCCTCTCTCTTTCCATAAAGATTAAAAGAACGGTAAATGATTAAATAAGTTTTACTTTTCTCTTTTATCAAAATTTGATTAGGAAACTAGGCCCATGCGTAGATAAAGCGAACAACAGGGGACGAGATACTTTGGGCTGAGCTACAGACCCCTGAAAATTGAAAAACAAAAAAAAGGGGAGAACAAAAGGACTTAAATTAATCAATGACCATCATTAATCATTTACCCTTCTTTTAATCTTTATGAGAAGAGAGATGATGGGAGAAGAAGGAAAAACCTGTGGACAAAAATTTGCGGACATGTGGCGGCATAATGCGATAGTACCAAATTTTTATTATCTAAGATTGATAATCTTTTAGAGCAGGTATTTACCTAGTATTTTGCATATTTAAATATTTAACTGTGCCCTTATATCAAAATTTGATCTAAGAATTTCTGATATCTGATGCTTCCAAGAATCCGCTGCTTATCAGCGAATTATACATATAAAACGATTATTTCTAACGTGTATGTCAAAAATAAGGCAAAATTACATCTATTTAATACCTAATTACTCTTACTTAAGAGAAAAAAATATGCGTTGATCAAGAAAATGTTTCAAAAGATACGTCAATCAATCGAAAGAAACAGAAAAAGTTAGAAAAGAAGCAAAAAATTGCTGAAAAGTTAGAAATTGAAAGAAGACAAAATAATGAAAATATTGAAAAAATTGTAAATGAGCACGAAAATATATTAACTAAAAAACAACCCACTAATAAAGAAAATAAATTACTGAAAAATCATTTCCAATATCAATTAAAATATTGGGAAGAGATTGCTAGTTTACAAAGTATATAAAATATAACTTTTAATTTTAAAATATATTGCTGAAAAATTAGAAATTGAAAGATTATAATAAATTCATGTTTAATGTCGAAATCTAATGCTTAGTATTGGATTTCGACATTATCAAATTGCTGCCCTGGTATCGGGAAATATACAACGTTGGGGTAATACCAGACTGGGCGAAATCAAAAAATAAAAAGCGAAATGCGGAATGCGAAACTTTTCGCGCCAAAAAATGTAAAAAATGCTAAATCGCCTAGCCCTGGTAAATACCCTCGTTCTCGGCTTTTGGGGTCTGAAAGCCCGGTTGAAAACATATAATTTGTATTTCTAGCTTGATCGGAAAGTAATGGGGCGCTTTTCATTTTATCATAACTTTCTTTATTATTTACATTTTTCCATATTTTTATATCAGTTTTGTATCTCATTCAATTCTCGTTCATGGCTTATTAGCGCGATTATATATTGAATATAATCGCGCTAATCTAATATAGTAATCATCTCATATGGCTAATGTTGGCTACTATTATATAACAATCTAGCCATCTCAAATTTCTTTTTTTTGGGAAGACCCCGCGTCTTAGGCCCTGTATGTGGCTAACTCTAGTAAAAATAACTAAAATTACACTTCTTTAGATATTAATTCTAAAATAACCAAAAACAATTTTACTTTGAATAACAATCACGAGTTTGAGGATTATTTGATGCAAATATGTTCTATGCGCATGGATCATGTTAATTATATAGAAACAAATGATAATATTTTATTAAATAAAGAAGGAGAATTATTTTTGAATATATTTATTTTAATAAAAAATATTGAAGAAAAATTAATTAGTTCAAGTTTAATTTTAAAAACAAATATTTTTGAAGAAAAAGAAAAAATTAAAAAAATATTGAAAAAATTTGAAAAACTTTGGATAAAATTTAAAAAAGAAAATTTAATTAATTTTAAAGAAGGGGAAAATAAAATAGAAATATATAAAATATTAATGCATAAATTAATGAATGTTAATTTAATGGTAGATAGAGTGCCGTTTTCTTTTGAAAAAATTGAACTTAATGAGAATTTATTTGAAAACCAAGAACATAGGTTAAAATAATTTAGATTTTATTTTTTAAATGCCGGCCGGGATTAACCTGTAATGCCATTATTCAAAAATTGCCTTAAGTAACTCTAAGTAGACCAAACTCGGACATTCTCGAAAGTTAAAAGCTTTCGAGAATTTAAGACTCTTGAGAGTCTTTGTCTAAATCTTAGATTTCCTACATTGACAAAAAGCATATTTTTAAAAAAATTCTGAAATAAACTCTAAAGAATTGGCCAAAGCAGATCAATTCGAAATTACGTCAGGTGCCAGTCTTATAGTTAAACGCAATCCTATATTCCCCCACTACACGCATCAGTCTATTTCCTATAATCTGCGGAGTTTACTAAAGATTGAACATGCTTGTCTCTGTTTATAACTTGGCAAAGGGGAACCGCTTTACTGAATAAATAGACTTGAAATAAAAAATTTCTCTAATTAAGTGTATTACCAACAAATTCAATAAAAGAAAACAATCACAAAGTAGAATTAAGATATATTCTTTTAAAGAATATTGTTATAATATTAGCAAGAAAGATAGAAATTTCTTTGAATTATATGAGAATTCCAGCAGAAGAATTTAAATATTTTAAAAGATATGTGAATAAAGAAGGATATGTTAAGAATAAATTTTTTGAAAATTTGGCAAAAATTTTTAACAAAAATAATAATTATAAAGTATTTGTTGAAGAGTTTATTACAAAAATAGAAGCTACAAAAATAGTTTTGAGACAAAGATATATTGGTACTAATAAAATTTAAGGAAAAATAAAAATATACTAATCCGATGTTAAAGAAATTATTCGAGCTCTTTATATTTATTATCGAGCTCTTCTCAAAAATATCTCTTAAGAAATTATAAAATTGTTAAAATCAAATTTAGATTTTATATTATGTAGAAATGTAGCAAAAATTTTAGAACAAAAATTTCCGAGAGTAATATTCCCATTGACATCGAATGTAAAAACTAATATTCTCTAGCCTATAAATAATAAAATATCGTTTAAGAGAAAAATAAAGCTAAACAAACAATAAATTAAGTAAAAACATTAATTTATTTCTGGAAAAAACACATTAAAAATAATAATATCGACAAAAATTCTTAAATAATTCTTTGAATATTTAATTAATTGTTTTTTAAAGATGAGGATTTACAAAAGAATATAGAAACGTTTTTAAATTCTGGATCCAATCAGATAAATTTATACAGCAATGCTTGGCTAAATCCTTTTTATTATGAAATTAGTCAAGATTTAAATTCGACAAATAATACAAATAAAAAGGTTTTATAGAAAAAATTTTCAGTTAAAAATTTGATTTTAAGTTGATAACTTATTTAAAAAACATTGAAGAAGATAATTTTATTGAGAGAAAAAATTATGCTAAAAATTGGATTGCACAAATATTTAATGATTGGCTTAAAAATCAGTGTATAATAAATAATGTTGAGTATTCGGGTTAGTTCAAATCTAAGTACTTTAGGATTGATCATATGTGCTAATTAGTTATCAGTATAATTATTTTGTTTCCACCTCACGATATATAAGATACCTAATTAATAGAGAGGAAGCGATTATTCGAGTTTTGAAGCATTGGTTTTAAAGCATCGAATTTTGAAGCACTCTTTTCGAATGGCGGGTAACCAAACCGACATATATCTATTTTTAGCAAATTTTATTCACAAATAAAATACTAATAAAAATATGAGGAAACATATTTTCATATAAATCAAATTATATCCCTCTGATATATACATGGGCTAAGCTAAAATTTAACAGATCATTTTATGCCTCACGTACTGCCTAGGTGTAAAATAAATTATTATATTATATCTATAATTCAATATATCTTTTAATGATGTACTGAAGATGCTGGCTCGCTCCCAGCCGCCGAATAAGGAGAGAAATATAGCCCAGCAGCTTAACTATAATAATCATTAAGGGGCTTCAATGGTTATCGGAGGATCAAGTTTAATTGGAGCAGATAATTCTGACTCTGATTTAGATATAATTTTTATGATTCCAATAATTTGTTTATCAAATGAAGAAATAAATAATTGTAGAGAATGCAAATATAATATTAAACTATATCAAAAATTGTGTAGAGATCATGATATTTTATTTGGTGATGGAGAATATGTCAATTCTATTTTAAAACATTTAGTGAATTTAATTAATAAAGCAAGAAATGATGAGGTAACAGATATAAATTATGAAATTTGCATTATATCATAATAAACCTTTTCAAATTACAATCCTTTCACCAGAGGTGGGACAAGCTACACGTTACCATATATTTTCTTTTTTAGAATCATATGCGAAACTCTATCCGATAAATTTCCAAAACCTAACTCAAAACTAAATCGAATTTATCTCAACTCGTCCCTTCTGACCGTATAGCCGGATTGATCTTTACCGACTCTAGTGCAAATAATTTTTTATCTTCATATATATTCTTTTTTATTAATTTCCAATTTTTTCTTTAAGCCAACAAATATTTATCAAATTAATTTTATAAATGGACGAGTTCCTCTAATCGAAATTAATTATAGAAGTCAAAAAATGGATATTTTATTGGCCCCTATTCCCTTTAAAAGTATTCCTGAATCATTAAATTTAACTAGTTACGAAAATGACGAAATAATAAACGATAATTTAAACACCTTAAATAAATTAATTGATAAAATGATGGAAACTGATGATATACAATATATCAAAAGTATACTGATATTAACAGGTAAAAAATAATTTCTTAAACTTTTACTTAAATTTGTTTTTCTTTTTCCATTCAAAAATTGCCAAAAATTTTTAAATTATTCTTTCAAGGTTACCGATATACTTATAGAGCAAAATTTCATTTAATACATCATTCAACAAGAGAAAATTTTACTCTATTGTTACGTGCTGTTAAATTATGGGCAAAAAGTATTTTATTTAAATTAATTATATTTTAATAATTAAATTATTTTTAGAAAAGCATATCTATTCGAATATATTTGGATATTTAAGTGGATCGATTTTAATTGTTATGGTTACTAAAATTTGTTTAATTTACCCATTTGGAGAAATAAATTTTTTATTGCAACAATTCTTTCAAATTTACGGTGCTTGGTAAAGGAATATTTTTATTAATAAAAATAAATTTGTTATTAAAAACAATAATTAAAATCTCGTTTAGGTTAAGTATATTTCGAATATATATGTTCATTTCTAAAACCTTTTATAACCTATTAGTTAATATTCAAATAGCTGCTTCCTAGTTAAAGCAGTTCCCAATCCCAAAAGTTTTCCAAATAGGAACTATCAGGTTCTATTATAAAATAATGAAACTATATCACCTTGATAAATGTGCCACTTTTTATCCAAATTATTTATTACTATTTATTTATACCCGGTTTTTGTAAATAACCTTTTATGACTCATTGCTGAAATCGAGTTGCGATTTTCTTCGATATTGTCTTAACCATTGTGTAAAACGCACTGGTTTTTATTAATAAGTATTAATAAATAATAATGAAAATTAATAAAAATGTTTACAAAATATTGAAAAAAATTTTCACATCATATTTTTGATGTGGTAATTTAATTAACTCTTGAAAATGAACACAATTTATTTTAATTAATAACAAAATAACATTTTTTAGGTCATGGCCTTTACCTCTAATTACAGAACAAATGACATTAAATATTTTAGAAGATAAATTTAAAAATTTCAAAAACTTTTGGACATTTGATAAATTAAAACCGTCTGAAGATGGTGTATTTTCTGGAAACAAGATGCCAATATTAACATCATTATTTCCTGAACAGAATACAGCACATAATGTCAATGAATTTACTTTGAAAATTATTTTGAGGGAAATGAAAAAGGGTTAGATAATTTTAAAAATAAACATAAACTAATTAATTAAGTGCTTAAATCATAGTTAAAATAAATATTAACTAGTGAAACGATCAGTCTGATGATGTCGTCAATAGGAAAACTTGGAGCCCTGTAAGCACCTGAGGGTTAAATGTGAATAATGACCAGTAGGACTAACAAAATTAATTTAATAATATTCTCTTCGTATTCCACTTATTCACAACTCTGATAGAACTTGGTTGCATTGATAATTTTATATAATTTATCTCCTTTAATTCATGAATCGAAACAAATAAACAATTTTGATAATCTTTAAATGTGACATGGTTTTTTTTATTAAAGGCTATCAACAAATTGAGAAATTAAACTCGAATGTATCGGATGAAGAAAATATAAATTTATTTGATGAAATAAATTATAAATTAATTTATAAAAATTTTCTTATAATTGAATGCAAATCATTAAGTTATTTAAATGAAAATCCTGAAAAATATTGTAAAACAATTGAAAGTAGAATACGCATTGCATTAACAAAATGGGTTAATGAAGAAATTAATTTAACTGATTATATTTATTTAAAAGATTGCATTTTAGAATATCACGCATTAACTGGATATGAAAACAAAAGAACAATTGTAAAAGAAAAGTAAGTTTACTGTTTGATATGCTGTTAGTAGCGTTTGTAACACGAAAATCCAAAGTGCACATATAATTTAGTGTGGTAAAAGTGATATGCATTTTTTCAAATTTTAGTTTTTCTGAAATCGTTTAAAGTTTCGAAAACATTATATCACGAAATTTCTAATATAATTTAATATTTTTTTCAATATTTGATATTATTTGTCCAACAAAACAAGAGTTACACAATTTTAACAAGAGCACATATAATTTCATGCAGCAATAAATAAATGATTAGTAAATAAGCTGAATAATTCATAAATAATCTAACTAATAATATTTAAAATTGAAATTACTTTTTTAGTTCACAAATGCATCAAAGAATTATATTAATTGGTTTCAATATTTTAGAGGATTGTCTTTTGAAAATAAATCAAAAAAAAGTTTTTCTTGAAAATTTCGGTCCAAAATTTGTTTCACACCTTGGCACATTTTTAAGCTACAATAAATGGATTAAATCAGAATATTCACAAGTGGATAAATTAGACGAAAGGTTATATTAGAAAAAATTACATACTTACAAAATCTCTCGATACAGAGATTCGTCATCAGAAATATACCAACTGTGGGTATATTCCTGAGGTACTCCTGAAACACTTATTTGAAAAATCTATTTGCGATAACTAATTGCTAAAATTTGACTCACAAGTATTCCTTTATTACTAGTTTTATCAAAATTCGCTGGTTATTTCTTATTGTTTTTAATTATAATTTTCCAAACAGAATTAAGGAAATCAAGGAAATGAGCTTGGAAAACGAAATTGAAAGAATTAAATTGAAAAAACCTATCCTACAAGAAAATAATTTAGAATTTAAACAAAGTATTGATCAAAATATAAAAGTAATCGGAAAAGAAAAAATTAAAACAACGAACATTTTTAATTGGTCAGAAATGAAAAATAAAAAAATTGAAAATATGGAAGAAAAGGATAAAAATTATATTTATTTTTTTGAAAAGGAAGAAAAAAAGTAAATTTATAAATCTATTTATTAATAAAATTTAGATATTTATTTATTTTAAAGTAAATTGAAGATTAAATAAAGATTTATCATAAAGGAATCGAGGAATTTCCATATGAAAACAGCTTTAAATTGAGGCGCAAAATATAAATTAAAAAATATAATATGTATATATGTAAAAAATTATTTATGTTATTATTTTTTATTTTATTTTTGTGCTATGATTTATTTAAATTATATTTACATAAATTTACATATTATATTTAAATTTATGGTAGTCTTCTAGTATACTTGTCTCGAGAAAAAATTAGGAAGAAGTATTGACTCGACAATTTTTGAGGTAAATATAAAAGATAATATAAATAGAAGATTAAACTAAAAGATTACCAAATCTATTCATATTTATTTTAATTTAGAATATTATAATTTATTTTTTTATTTAAATTTCCCGTTTTTTCATTAAATTTTACCTAGTGTATTTAAACCTAACATATTATGTGTAAATTTGTCCATGTGGAATATTTTCACCTGAAAGCCTAGAGTAGATGGGAGGATTTTCTATTTTTAATAGATAAAGAATAGACTTTCGAATTCATGCTTTATATTTAGCTAATAATCCAACAAAAATATGTATTATAATTGAACTAAACTCTAAAACAAACAAGATTATTTTAATATCAATGATAGGTGATGGTAATCCAATGAAATCTTGAAGCTTTCCAGTAACTGGCCATTCAGGATTTGAAATTATTGTTGAAAGTAACAGGAATAAAATAAATAAAGTAAAAATAATCATTAATATCATATGCAAAAAAATATAATTTCGAAAATTGACTTGAGAATAACTGAAAAAAGTAGATAGTTAGAAGTTATAGTTAGAAGTTTAGAATCACAATAAGTGTAATTTTTTGCCTTGTGATTTACTCAATAAAATTAAAATTAAATAAACTAAAATATATATGGAGAAAAGAATGCAAGAGTTGCCACGGCACAAGCAAAGTGTAAAAGAGCTAGGTCATGTCAGCCCGGACATGCTATCCTCTCTAGTACATGTTATTAAATTAATTTACGAATCCGTTTATATGTATATAATTTAAAATAAAATTAATTTAACAAACAATATCGGAAATGCCACTGCAATAAATCTGTCAATACTCAAGGTAAAGTACATGAAAGAGACAACATTTACTGATATAATTGAATGTGCCTCTATTTTAAATGCCAAAGAAACTGGTATAAAATTTATCCCAGTCAAAGTAATATAAAAGAAGACAAAATGCCCACTTTGATGAAAAATCTCCAATAATGAGTTAATTGCTATCTAAATACTTGTTTTGGATTTCAAAACTGTATATTTGCCCCTAAACAAGAAAAAATCATTTCTTAGGTAAAGAATAAAAATACCAATATTTCCATGTAATATAACAAACACTGAAATTAAATAATATTCCTATAAATGATGTTAGTGATAAAATTGATGTAGGAATGAATAAAGGAAGGTGGAAGCCTGGAGTTTGGTAAGCAGCATAAATAGCCTTAAGAATTCATAAAATAATTTTATATATTCCAAGATTAAAATTTTATCGTTTTTATTTTAACAACCTGTACAGACTCAGGAACATCTTATTTGTTTTAAGAAATTAAACAAAGGATCTTATTAGTTTTTATATATTAAACAAAGGATAAGTGGATCAATCTCATCATTCCGTCATATACTAGTACTCAAAATATTTATTTAGACTCTTGTGCTGAGTGACAAAAATTTGATCATGAGATTGGTCCGAGTCCTGGAGGATTACAATTCTTGCATGCTTTATGATAGTTCTTGACTGTGTTATTTTTTGTAACCATAATAAAAAATATATTAAATTAATTACCGGCATATTAATTGTTTTATTCATTTCAAAATATTTTTAAATTAAATAGTATAATATGAAAATTTTAAACTATTATTTAATTGAAATTTTTTAATGTAATTAATGTAACATTAATGTTAGAAAATTTATTGAGAAATAATACATTTCATTTGTTTAAATTTTGAAAAAAAATAATACAAAATTTTTTCACGCTATAATACAAAAATAAAAATGCAATTGATGAAAACTATTAAATAATTATTAAATTAATACAATTTTTGGCTCATAAAAATTTCTATACTTTTAAAGCATAAAAAAGAATTAAATAATTTTATTAAAAAAAATATAAAAAAAATTTTTTAATTTATTTGAAAAAATATATTATTATCATAATTTTATCAGGTCGATTTTTATTTCGTGATTATTTTAAAGGTTTTTTAATATATATCTTCATATTATCATCACTAAGCTAAAAATTAATTAAAATTAATTTTAATTATCAAATATTATATTTAGGGCATATTTTTATATTATGCTAAATCTGACTCTATTCTCCTTTAGCTAATGAAAAATGTTAGTTCGGATTTTGTGAGCTAACCAGCCTCCGCCTCTCCTTCATAGATATTAAGAATAATTGGTACTTATCGGTTAAAAAAACTGAGTGTCAGACAAATTTGATCGGCCTTATCTTTTTGATGCTTGATCCAATATAAATATATATATATATCATTTGAAAGCCCTCGACAAGAGCAAGTTTTCAACTTATTGTTAATATATCAAGTCTGATCACTCGTTAAATGTTGAAACCCGATAAATGTGAAAAATACCAAATAAATGGACTTATTGTGTTATAATTTTATATGAGTGATCAGACATAATCACTGCTATAGAAATTTTTTTTTCTAGGTAATCCCAATATACTCGTCCAAATATGTCCGAACGTCATCCATATATTTACCTTTATTTCCTTAGTTGCTGGGAAATATACATAGGAATTATCCTTTTTATCTGAGTTCAAATCATCTAATTTATTTTGTATTTCTGGCCATTGGAGAGTTTTTGTCAATTCGTTAATTTCTATTTTATAATTTTCATTATCCTCGATATTTAATTTATTTTTAAAATTAAATGGGGTATTATGATTAAATTTTGATGATGATCCAGTTGGCATTTCTTTGGTTAAACTCTTCCCACGTAATTCATGAATTCTAAATTGAATACAATATTTCATATTTCAAATCTATTCAGTTTTGATATATAAATATTTTTCAAGAAAATATTTTGACATTTATGAAATAATTAAAATATAATCACATTATTATTTAATAATTTTTGGGAATTTCAAAAGTACAAAAATTTTGCATCTTTCCCAGCTTACTCATAAAGTACACCTCGAGGAGCTCAAAAGCAACTCCCAGAGAAAATAACACTATCTCAAATCTAATTTATAAATCACTAATGTTAAAGATTAAATTATAATATTTACATACATTTTATCTAACACAATTCTGTTTAAATATATAGAATCTATCCATATATTATCCGATAAAATTATGTTCAATTTATCAATTAATTTTCTGGCTAATATTTCAAATTCTTTAGTAAATTTATTATTTTTTAAGTTATTGAAACAATTTTTAGACAAATTAAAGCCAATTAATTAGCAAATTTCAAGGGCTTTCGAATGAGCCCAAAACCAAAATTTACAGTAATCCATAAGGGGTCGAAAATATTTTTTAAAGTTGAAAAACCCCATTTTACGTTGATTTTCAGGTCTCAGTATGCTCAATTAATTAATCCTGGTAATTATTGTTTATATAAAGGGCTGGAGGTGTAATTATTAGGGAAGGATGCTGAATTTGGGAAGGATCACATTAAATACAGGATGAAGTGATTTATTTTTTGATATTATTCTCAGTTTGTCTACTAATTAGAATTAAAAATCATTTTTGTATGAATTTAATGCAGGAAAAAAATAGGTTATTACTTGTTGAGTTATTGTTTGAAATATATGTACTATTTTCTAAGTGTTATTAACTTACCTTCACTTTTTTCGTCAGACTTATTTTCTTCAATAATATCTTTATCAATGTCGTTTACTAATTCATTTTTATCTAAATTTTCGATTTCATCGTCTTCTTCATAATTGTTTTTCTTTATATTATCAATTTCTAAATTATTGAAGATTTGTTCAATCATATCTTCTTCCTTCATAATAAATGAATATAAAAATTAAAATAATCATAGATATGCAATATTAATATATACTAGAGATCGGAATTTTGTTCCGTACCGTATTCCGTACCGTAATACCGAAAAATACCGATACCGAAAAATACCGATGAAATTCAAAATGTTACCGTACCGTATTCCGTACCGTATTACCGACTGTAATACCGATAAATACCGAGAAATACTGACAAATACCGATGTTTTTCATCGGTACCGTATTCCGTACCGTATTTTTTTTCAAAATTTTTCCGTACCGTGTTCCGTACCGTACTACCGATACGGAATACCGATAAATACCAAAAAATACGGCCGTAGTACGGTACGGTCCGATCTCTAATATATACTCTCAAGTATTTAATTACGATCTAACGAAAATCTTGTTCGTTCTACTTTTCGAACAAGCTTATAGATAAATATTATTATACCTTCACTATAATAATTATACCTTCACTATTCTTTATATACATATGTATTAAACAAAATTAATTTAATAATTACATTAATTCCACTTGTAGATGCTATGTCAGCCTTAAATAAAAAAATAAATTTAAGCATAAAATACTTCTAAAATATGTATTATTATTTTTTAAAGAATAAAATATGCAATAATTTTACAAGTTTAATTACATTTATTTTAGTTTGAAATCCTTGAATTTCTTGTTCCTTACTTTCAATTATTTCTTTATTTTTATAATTTTTTACCAATGAAAAAAATTTTTTTGCTTCTATACCAGTCAAATTCTCCAGTAAATCTTTAAAATTTAAAAAGTTTTATAGCTGAAAGTATTTCAAAAATGGTATCTCGAAAAATCTCGAAAAACTTAATTTTTGATGTACAAAATCGTAAAAAATTTCTCAAAAAATATCGACTCTGGTTCCGATCTCTAGTACATTCCACAACCAATTATACTACTACCTTTACTAT